CTTCTTTATTCATAGAACTACTGTTCATAAATGAACTATAAATTATATAAATGTTTCAATGTATTGTATTACTGTATAGTTCTTATGTTAAATCGCTGTTCATAAACAAATGTATTGTATTACTGTATAGTTCTTATGTTAAATCGCTGTTCATAAACAAATGTATTGTATTACTGTATAGTTCTTATGTTAAATCGCTGTTCATAAACAAATTACAGTGGGAGTTTTATATACTGGGGCATAAATCCCCTAACATAAATGTTTGCCTTCTATTGAAAATTAGGTTTTAAAAATAGAATTAATATGACATTTAAATCTCACTTTCTAAAATAAAGGACTGCAATGCCAGAAGATTTATAAAATTAATACTCATTAAATAACAGCGACTTTAATAGTATAAAGTACAAAATAATTGTAACAGGTTTGTCATTTGTATGTAAGTACCAGTAATAAACACATGCACCTAAAAATATATCTCACTCAATTGCCCTATGCAACAAAAATGTGTTATTACTGACTAGGAATTTTTTAAATTTAAAAACTGAAGTGACCTTCAATTAATTAAATTATTGATTTTAGAAAATGTATTTTTAGCAAAGAATGCAAACAACAGACACACAATACATATTCATATTTTACATCATGTTTTAATAATTTAAATTATGTTTATTAATAAACAACTTGATTCAACAAGTATTTTTTTATATCTGTATTTTATTATATCTGTACATGCATATCATAAATAAATACCAGTATCATTAATATTTTTTTGAACATTTGGAATATGTTCTATAGTGTAAGTTTAAAAAATATAAAATAAAAATTCAATGAAAATTAAAGAAAAGTGAATATATTAATAACCAGATAATTCTGGTATTGGAAATAATTGTGAGTTGGTCATTATAACAGACATTCAAAGTGTGTGTGTGAATAAATAGTGCATTTTATCCACAGGTGCATACATGCTATTTATATATAAAACAACAAATATTACAGCCCTTCGGTTGGAATTTATTTTTCATATTTCAGTTCAGTGTCTCTGTATTAGTCTATTCAATGTCTGAATGGCATCAGCTTCCTGCTGCATCATTGTTATTAATATTTAAGTCACATACCACACTGTGTCATCCCACGTTAGAAAATACAATTATTTACACAGAATTTGAGCTATGTGTGCTGCACAACATTGTATGAACAGTCAAAACTCTATTTAAACATTTTTGTTCACATATTCTGATCTGAATGACATGTTAATCACCCGTGAGTAATTCAATAAAACCCAGTTATCAATTTTAGCACAAACTTCTCTATGTGATCCCATTAATCATCTTAATCACCTAAAGACATGACAATGACTAAAGCTGTGTTAAACATTAATAAATGACCCATCCCCATCAGATGAATGTAGTCAACAACAGCTGTGTATGTGACCTAGCAGTTATCAAATGTACAACTATAACATATTGTATACATGCAGTACTTACATAATTTACATATAATCAATTAACAGTGGGTATTATCTATTATTGTATAAGTTATTAATTACCATTGTTATTTTGTCAATTTATGGAAGCAGTGACATAAAATACTTGCAAATGAACAAACAAACAAAACCGTTTAATTATATTACAAAATAATGACCTCATATTAAAAAGATGGTGGCTTGTCTAGCACAATTGAATACTAAGTTTTGTAAAAATATAATAGACCATTTTCCGATCACTGCGAGAATCACGGGTTATGCGTGACATCGAACATAAAAACAGGACAAACAAAAGTCATAGTGCTGTAGTGGTGTCAAACATCGCGTGGGATTCGACAAACGTATTTTGGGAGACATTTCCATGCCTAATAATGTGCTGTACACATTTGATGATGGGCAATTTTGATTAAGTCAGGGTATTCAAAAGCAATATTCCTCCGTCGAAGACCGGCCGGTCGATGTGAGCTACAAAATAAAGAAATTTGAGTTCAAAATCAAATCGTTTGATTTTTGCGGCAGACGTTCGACGCGCGTCTTTCATGCATCTTGCGAGACCTCGCAGTTGAAGGGAAAATCACATATTCAGTGTACGTATTACATGTGATATTTTGGATATCAGATTTACCTAATTAAGTTTATTACATACCAAACTGTATTTTACTATAGAAAAATTAAAATTAATTTTTTGGAGTTACCTACAGAGAATGTGTTACTCTAAAATAAATTATTTTCACTGAAGGGGTGATTCAGTGAAAATAACATTCAGCAAATATACCTTTTTTCCTATATTTTACATTCAACTCATCAAAAATCAGTGAAAATAAATTTCATATAAAACACCAAAAAGTCTTTTCAGCGAAAATTAATTCCAGTGAAAAGTATTTTACAGTAACTCATCACAATATTTTTCAAAGTTTTATCAAACTAATGTAGTGATAGAACATTGCAGATATGCTTATTTGACGAATGGAGTTGAAATCAATATTTTATAATATTTTCTCTTTCTTTATTATTTCATTATTATTATTATACTTTGTTATACTTATACTTTTATTGCTACTGTACTGATAGAAATACTGTATTTCTAAAGAATGATGCAATAAATAAAAAATATTAAATATTAATATTTTGCTATGAAGTAAATATAGATGAATAGATGAAGTTATTTTTTGAACATTAATAACTCTTATCATGTATCTGGTCAAGTCAATGTAAAATTACATGAAGCTTGCAGGAAAAGGGTTAATCAATTCAAGTGAAGAGTTTTGTCTTCAAATGGCCCAACTCTACAAAAAAAGTTTATTCACATATACATATATATTGACATTTACATGTACAACCATATAAACATGCAGTTTGTGATTATATAAATATTGGTGTGGTTACTAACTAACCAAACTGTACGGCAACATTCTCCTGCTAGGCGTCTTCTCAATTTGGCAAAGATTGTAAAAAAACAAAAGGTATTTTATTTATAATCCTACCTTCCCTCCCCCAAAAATGAACATGAAAGTAGAATACATGTATTTATGACGGACTGACTGAAAATGATGGATCCATAAAATATGATACCTTTTGTTTTATGGGCAAAGTATGACAACACCTTTTACTGATTAAAACATTCTTTGGATTATTAGGTAATATTCAGCAACACAACACTACTAATATACTGCAGCAATATTTTATCAACAGTAACATATTTCGGAATGCTTTCATAATGAAGTGAATACAATTTTTTGTCTGAAATTTTTAGCTTAGGGGTTTCCTTTTGAAGATGACCGGAGACATTAATTGTTTAACGTTCTACTCTTGTCTCCTGTATCTTTTCTAAAGTGTGTGAACAGATTATAATTTTTACTGGTTGCCGTGTGCATTATCACCAATTTAATAATAATAATAATGTAATAGTTTATTACGCAACTGTAATCTAGCTGCTGTGGATACAGTAAAGTAAAAATAGTGTAAAATAAAATATAAGTAATACAAGTAAAAATATCTACAAATTTAAAATTCTAATAACTACAAATAAATCGGAAAGTAATACAAATACAGTAAAGTAAAAGTTAAGGTTAAATCAAAGTAAAGGCTCTCCCTACCTCAGGGGTTTACACAGGAGGTGCTTTGTATATGGTATTTTTAAGATATAGTGAAAGAGCAATGTTATTTTTCATAATTTTTAAAGACTATGTATTTCATAAATTACAGTTCTGCTATTTGCTAGGATAGATACATTTTTCTAGGTCTGGTCAGTCTTGTGTCAAATAATGGACTTTTAATTCCAATTATTTTTCTTGTACCACCATATTGCAGTTGCCCAAAAGTAAAATTACTTTACTACTCTCGGCGCAAAAAGGCATTCCCTTCATCTTTATATATATTTATAAATTTCACAATTCAAACCAAGACAAAAGGTTATAAAGATGTAGGGAATGTTTTGTTGTAACATGAGTATCAAATCGCCATCACCTGTGTCCCATTATAGATAATAAATTGTTGACTTAAGCAATATGTAATCTTATCAAATTCTTGTTATAGTAACACTGTTTGAGGATGACTGACTATGCACATTTGTCAACAAATTTCAATTCTTTTGTATCTTTCATTTACTATCATAATACAAGTTATATTTTTAGCTTAAATTCAGTGTTGGCGTCTGTTCACGAATTTCCATTTTTGGCAATAACAAACTTGTTAATATTGAGTTCGGTAGGCAGTCGTAGATTTTGTTTAAAGATTTAATTATCAGTGTATGACAAAAATCACATGCATGTCATGGCATTAGGTAATCGTGCCCAGCCCCTGTGATCGTGCCACCAGTTGCCTTCAACGACGCCATAAAATTGCAAGGCCATCGTTGTCGTACGTATCAGACGTTATCGGTTTAATAACAACACGTAGGTGCGCTGTACTATGATGTACCTTCATGTTTCCCACAACAGACGTGCTGATGTAACCGTTAGTGTATGTGTATTGTAGTACCAGGTGTAAACGACGTGAGTGTACTGGTAATGACACTGGTAATGACAATGTAATGTAATGTTTACGCCGCTGAGAAAGTTCACGACCAGAATGTGAATATAAACATACATAAAAATATACTTTAACTCGTACTTACTCATTATTGCAATCTCAGACTGTTGACTATTCACTATATGTACAACAAACAACAAGACATAAATTAAAAGTCTAAATATGCAGCGTTAACAAAACAGGAACAAACCCTTCTGGAATATTATTAAACCAAGCCCACTTTCGGAAATTGCCGAAACCTACCGAAGATTGCCGAAATAGGAACTCGTTTAACAAAGCCACTAACTAACTTTATTCACGCCGTCAATTTAATTAATGTTACGCAATAAGAGATTATGCACACTGCTATAATGACTCACAACTCAGAACTAAATATATCGTATTCAACTTTTAATTAAACAACTTTGTCCTGGTGAACTTTAACCTTTAAAACATGGCGGCCTACATGGACCATAACATGCGTTCTTTCATATTTGCACCAAATCCCTCTGCAACGTACGATACCGCTGCCAGAAGATGCTGATATTCTTTGTAATATATTTTGCCGAATGTATGACTATATTTGAATAACTAACAATGCCATTAGCAGATATCATATCATCATTAAAAGACAATCCGTACTTCGGTGCTGGATTTGGGTTAGTTGGTGTTGGTGCTGTTCTAGCGTTTGCTCGTAAAGGTAGTCAGTTTGCAATGGTTGCATTCAGAAGACATTACATGATGACGCTAGAAGTGCCAAGCAAAGATAAAAGTTACTTTTGGTTGTTACAGTGGATAACAACACATGCCAAAAAAACGCAACATCTAAGTGTCGAAACAACTTTTCACCAAACAGAGAGTGGTAGCATCAAAACGCAATTTGACTTTGTCCCTAGTCCAGGCACTCATTTCTTTTGGTAAGTTGATTTTTTCAACTTGTAAATTTATATTTTATTTTATTTTATATTGTTCATTTCATGAATTTTCCACACCAGGTTTCAGGAATTTGTTTTATATATTCTTGGTGCAACAAATGGATTCCCTCATCTTTATAAATATTACAATTCAAACACTTGGGTGTTACAATGCAGTCCAATGGGAAATTTACTGAAGCCAGACAAAACATGGCAGATAAAGCCAACAGAGCCTTATATGCAATGTTAAGACACATTCCACCTGAATGCAACTGTAAAACATTTATCTATCTGTTCAGAACATGTATTCTTCCAGTACTCATTTATGGTTCAGAAATTTTAGGAATTGAAGTTTTGAATGAAAACAAATGGGACAAAACTACAAGTGAAAAACTACATTTGAAATTCTGTAGAAATATTCTAGGCCTAAATAAATTTTGTGCAAATTTAGCTTGTAGGGCAGAGTTGGGCTGTTTC